TGATAATACCGTTTGTTGAAAAAAATATATTATATATATATATATATATATATATATATATATATTATATATATATATTTATATATATATATATAATATATATATATATATTATATAATATCAGTTATTGTACAACATTTGGGTATCATGATTGTAAAAACATATATGTTAGCCCACGTTTATCAAAATTTATGAGGTAAATGAATCATATCCAGGCTAATGGACAGATTACCTCAAATTTCTCCTTGTCTTCAACCTCTCTTCCCTGTAACGTACTGATAAAGTTTCTCAAATGTTGCACAAGTGTCTAATTTTTTCATTCTCTTTCTAATCAATTATTATAGTGACCGAAGCACATAGTTTTGCACATTATGAAAAAACAGAAAAATCCTTAATATTTAAAGTATCGACTTACTAGAAGTTAGAAACCCATCAAAATTGCTATCGTTATTATATTAATGGTGTTTCTCTTGCAAACAGTTTCTTCAGAGAGAGCTGAATGCCAGTAACCTTCCTGAGATATACGACACTGCTGCTCTTCTGAAGGACATCACTCTCCTTAATAAGTGCACTCAGGTACATACAACATTTTTTTTTTAAATCTAAATACACATATGGACATGCACCAAGGAATAGTCATAATAATTTATTCTGACGATATCTGAAGGCAGTATTTAAGAATGTATGAAGAGATTCATCTGAGCACTACTTAGAACCTTCTGGATGTATGGTAGTTTAAGCTGACGAATGAACACATTTGACTTCTATATTAATTGGAAGGTTTACATATAATTTCATTGTTTTATATGTGTACTATCCATTAGCACAACGAAATCTCTTATGTTATCTCTTACGACAGTGATTAGATGTAGCTTAGGTCTGGCTATTAGTTTCTGTTTCATGCAGTCTGTAAACCTCGGAGGTCCTCTCTATCCTACCCCAAATATGAGGGATAAGGGGATGGGACACATGGGTGATGAAGGGAGGACAAATGAAAAGAGATGAGAGAGAGAGACAAAAAGAGATTGAAAATATCATCAAAGAGAAGAGGAGGACCTTACCAAGGTGACATATTTTCAGTGAAAAGTGGGATACTCGAGGGGTAAAAAACGGTCATTGAAATTCATTTTTAGGACAGAATCAGTGTGAAACAGGATTCTGCAGCAGAAACCACAGCTAAAGGAAATAACAAAATAGCAGTGGGTGTACCTTAACCAAGACAGAATGCAAAAAATGACTGAAACTGAGAGAGACGATACAGAGATGCAAGGGTGGGAAAAAGAGACATGGCTAGAGATGATTAGGGGCACCCAGAGTCGGCAGGATGAGCAAGCACAAGTACCCACAGAACCAATAACAGAAAACCTCAGCCAAACAAATTAACCCAAGATGAACCACACTCAACACTCACAGCTCTCTGGGCACAAACTCCACCTATACAACAGCCTCCCATAGTTTCCTGCCAGGTCTCTCACTCCCCTAGCCCTCACAAACTTCTCAGAATACAGTTTTGGTAAAGAAGTTTGGGGTATGGTACACCAACAAAGATGGTAAAACAAATAAGTGGCACAAAAGAATCATGGAGGCATCCTCAGACATCATAGCACTCATGGAAACCAAACTCATGAGAATAACAGATGCAACCTTTCCAACTGGATACCAGATCCTGAGGATAGATAGAGGGAACAAAGGGAGTGAGGGGAAGGAGTCGCACTGCTCAATAGAAACCATTGGAGTTTTCATGAGTTGAAGGAAGTGGGCAGAATGGAAGCAACAGACTAAATAATAGGATCACTTCAGGCTGAGGGTCCCAAGGTAGTGATTGCAGTGATAAACAAATTGCCACAGAATAGCAGGAGGCCAAGACAAGAGTACAATGAAAGCAACAGTGCAATGGTTGACACACTAGCTGAGGTGGAAAGAAGGGCCCACATAGGCAGGGCAAATTAACTAGTTGTGGGTGTTTTCAGTCAAAAAAAGATAGACTGGGAAAACCTGGAGCCCCATGGGGGACCAGAAACATGGAGCACCAAGGTGATGGAGGTGGTACTGGAAAACCTCATCCATCAACAAGTCAGGGACACTACCAGTAAGGCCGGACCTCATAATCACCTCGAGTAGTTCAGACATTGGGGACATCACATACCAAAAGCCCTTCTGAGTTAGTGATCACGTGGTCCTGACCTTCAAATACAATGAAGAATGAAAAGTGGAAAATGAAGCAGCATGAGCAGCACAGGATAAACCAAATTTCCAAAGAGGGGACTACACAGGCATGAGGAATTTCCTGCATGGGGTACTGTATGAAAGAGAACTGGCAGGAAAAACAGTAAATGAAATAATGGAATACATGATCACAAAACGCAAGGAGGCAGAGGCAATGTTTCTACCCAAGGGTAATAGAAATGATGGGAAGACCATAACGAGCCCTTGATTCACCAAAAAGGTGTATAGAAGCCAAAACTAACTGTGCTAGAAAATAGAAAAAGTATAGAACACAAAGCACTCAGGAAAATAAGGAGACTAGCTGAATAGCCAGAAACGAATGTGCACGGATAAAGAGGGAGGCCCAGTGACAATACAACAATACCATAGCTTCGAAAGCCAAATTTGGCCCAAAGCTGTTGTACAGCCACATCAGGAGGAACACAATAATCAATGACCAGGTAATCAGGCTTAAGAAGGAAGGAGATGAGATCATAAGAAACGACCAAGAATTATATGAAGAGCTGAACACGAGATTTAAAATGGAAGTATTTTCAGTGGACACAGAAAGGAGTCCCGCAAACCATTATGGTAGAGTATGCCAACAGGTGTTGGACACACTACACACAACTGAAGACAAGTTGAAGTGGCTGCTAAGTGAACTGGATACCTCAAAGGAGGTGGTACCAGACACCATCTCTCCATGGGCCCTGAGAGAGGGAGCAGAGGCACTGTGTGTGTGCCACTAACAACAATCTTCAACAGGCTACATATGCTGTATTCCACACTTCTAGGCAACTACCTGAGGTGTGGAATACAGCAAATGTAGTCCCAATTTTTAAGAAAGGAGACAGAAAAGCAGCATTAAACTATAGACCAGTGTCACTGACATGTATATTATACGGTGTCATGGAGAAGCTTATCAGGAAAACCTAGAAAGGAATGAACTTATATACAATAACCAGCACGGTTTCGGTGAAGGGAAATCCTGTGTCCCAAACTTACTGGAGTTTTACGGCAAGGTGACAGAAGTAAGAAAGGGGAGAGAGGTAGACTGCATTTTCCTAAACTATAAGAAGGCTTTCGACACAGTTTCACACAAGAGATTAGTGCAGAAGCTAGAAGAGCATGCAGGAATAACAGGAAAGACACTGCAGTGGATCAGAGAATACCTGACAGGAAGGAAACAATGAGTGGTGATTAGTGACAAAGTGTTAGAGTGGGTGCATGTGACGAGCGAGGTCGCACAATTGTGAGTCCTAGGGCCGGTGCTGTTTCTGGTAAATGTGAATGACATGACGGTTGGGACAGTTCCAGAAGTGTCTCTGTTTGGAGACGATATAAAGCTAATGTCGATAATATGAACAGATGAGGATCAGGTAGGACTGTAAATGGATCTAGACAAGCTGCAGGCCTGGTTCAACAGTTGGTTCCTGAAGTTTAACACTTCCAAGTGCAAAGTCGTGAAGATTGGGGAAGGGTAAAGAAGACTGCAGACGGGGTATAGGCTATGGGGACAAAGGCAGCAAACCTGACTCAAGGAAAAGGATCTTGGGGTGAGTATCATACCGAACACATCTCCTGAGGTATACAACAACTGAATAACTGCTGCAGCTTATGGGAGCCTGAGTAAGGAGTCATTCAAGAGACTGTATACTATGTACGTCAGGCCCATGTTGGAGTATGCAGCACCAAAATGGAAACCACATCTGGTCAAGCACTTAAAGAAATTAGAAAAAGGGCAAAAGTTTGCAATGTGACTAGTTCCGGATCTCAGGGTTATGTACTACAAGGAGAGGTTAAAATCAACCTGATAACACTGGAAGACAGAAGGGATAGAGGGGACATGGAAACGACATATAAAACACTGAGAGGAATTGACAAGGTGGAAAGAGACAGTGTTTCAGAGATGGGACACAGCAACAAGGGATCACAACCAGAAGTTGAAAACTCAGATGAGTCACAGTGATGTTAGAAAGTTTCTGATCAGCCATATTGTTGTTTTGAAGAGAAATAATCTGGAAATTAATGCATTCTATCTACCTGGAGGGTATTCTGGGGATCAATGCCCTCATGGCCCGCTCCATGACCAGGCCTCCTGCTGGATCACGGCCTGATCAAAGAAGCTGTTACTGCTGGCTGCACGTAGTCCAGCGTAAGAACTACACCCCGGCTGATCTGGCACTGAATTTAGGGGCCTGGAGCTGTGATTCGACCCCTGCATCCACAAAAGGTGACTACAAATAGGTAAGTACACACACAAACACTTATATATATATATATATATATATATATATATATATATATATATATATATATATATATTATAATATATATATATATATATATATATATATATATATATATATATAATATATATAAAAATTGGGGTCCACCTCTGGTGTAAATTGTGGGACCCATACATACGCATGCGCACACATAACCGATAATCCTGTTCCTGATCCATCTCTCTCTCTCTCTCCCCCCATCCCTCAATCCCTCTCCCCTCTCCACACACACACACACGCACACCTTAATAAGGAATCGTTCAAGACACTGTACACTGTGTATGTTAGGCCCATACTGGAGTATGCAGCACCAGTCTGGAGCCCACACCTGGTCAAGCACGTCAAGAAGTTAGAGAAAGTACAAAGGTTTGCAACAAGGCTAGTCCCAGAGCTCAAGGGAATGTCGTACGAGGAAAGGTTAAGGGAAATCGGACTGACGACACTGGAGGACAGAAGGGTCAGGGGAGACATGATAACGACATACAAGATACTGCGGGGAATAGACAAGGTGGACAGAGATAGGATGTTCCAGAGAGGGGACACAGGGACAAGGGGTCACAACTGGAAGCTGAAGACTCAGACGAGTCACAGGGACGTTAGGAAGTATTTCTTCAGTCATAGAGTTGTCAGCAAGTGGAATAGCCTAGCAAGTGAAGTAGTGGAGGCAGGAACCATACATAGTTTTAAGAAGAGGTATGACAAAGCTCAGGAAGCAAAAAAAGAGAGGCCCCCGTAGCGATCAGTGAAGAGGCGGGGCCCGGAGCTGAGTCTCGCCCCCCTGCAACCACAATTTAGGTGAGTACAATTAGGTAGACCAAAGACAAAACACACACAAAAACAACACGCACAAACATACGCACACCCCAAAACCACAACACCACACCCACACATGCACAAAACCCGGGGAAGAAGTAAGAGGTTTGAGGAGCTAGATCCTCAAAGGAAATGGGGCCCGATAACATCTCCCCATGGGTATTGAGAGAGGGAAGAGGCGCTATGTGTACCCCAGCAACAAAATTAAATTTCATCTATCGAAAAAGGAATTCCCCTAAAAGGCAGGGAAGACAGCAAATGTATCCCAAT